CCCTCCTTCCTTCCTTCCTTCCTTCCTTCCTTCCTTCCTTCCTTCCTTCCTTCCTTCCTTCCTTCCTTCCTTCCTGAATTGCTCTGAGGTGTCAGTTGCATTTTCATGCTTGCAATTGAAGGATATAACGACGTTACACCAATTATCTCTTCTCCCAAACACATTGGTCTGAAGGAGGTTGCGATTTCTGACCTAATTAATTGCTGCGTTTTAAGGATCTGTACAGGAGAACAAAGAGGGGAAAATGAGCACGATGCGCTGAGATTTATGGAAAGGGGATACTTCTGCAGAGACGCATGACGCTTAGTAGTTGGCTCCTGGCCATGTTGGTTTCTTTGCAGGCTTCTTGAGGGCTTTCCCTCCGCTATCCCTTCCTCCTTTCCCAGTCTGCTTTCCTCTTTCTCTACTCCTGCATGGATCTCTTCTTCTGTACTTGGTAACAGGCATTAATGCAGCTGGATAGTAACGTGCATAATAATCACCACCTCCAGGGAGTCGAAATGGCGGTGGTGAGAATGAAGTGCAAATGATGGAATTGATTAGTTGGAATCGATAGAAACCCAAAACTAAAAAGCAGTCACGGCAGACTAGAGAGAGACCCAGGTAATATATGGATGTTTCTCAGTAAGGAATATTCATAGATTTCCTATTCCTGCATCCAGATAAACCAAAATAAGGAGACAAAACTCATGTCCAACATGCTGCATGAGCTTAGCAGGTCCATTCGCTCGCTCTACTTGTCAAGGAATCCAAAATTGGTAATCCAGCCTGACCATCTGGCCGGCTACGCTGTGGACCACAATAATAACAATAATTTGCAGCAATTTTCTCATCAAGAATTGGTTGGGCGATTGCTTTTTGATCCATCCAGTTTTAGAGGAGACCTCAGAACTTTGATACAACAAAATGTTGGAGTTTGGAAGGACTTTCTCTGAGGGAATGGTATGAGAACACCCAAAGAGTTCATTTGCTTCCCAAAATACGACTGTTTATCTTACCCCAATGGAGAACTGAGACCGAAAGGTCTGAATAAATTAGGGAATAAATATCACTCATGTTCAGAGGCCAGCTCTGCATGCAGGAAAACCCACAGCTTAGCTAAGCATTTCTAGGTTGAGATGGGAAGGACGTTTTTTTAAAAAAATCTGAAACCGTAGGGAGCTCCTGCCAATCAATGCAAATTATATTAGGGCTGTAAAATAAATTACTCCAGGACTGGAAATAAGTTATGGTAGAGAGGTAAAATAAATGGTTCTAAGGATGGAAATGAATTATGCCAGAGAGGTCGAATAAATCTGCCACCAATGTTGTTGCGTAGGCAGCGCCAGAGAAGGTCTGTGGCTATCTTTCATACTTGGCTGGTAGAAGTTCTGCAAATTGAAATGCCGATCTGGCAAAATGCCACTGAAGAGAGCAAGTCTGGGCAAATGTTGTGTGCAAAACCTTTGTTTTGGAAATTTATATGAAAAATAGGCTGGAGGCGTTGCATACAAGAAGTAGAAATGATACCATATGTAGCTACGTAGGTGAAAATGTCAGGGCATCTGTTAAGGGAACTATGCTTATTGAAGGAATGTAGAAATCAGCAAAAACTATTTACTAGAAAAAAAAAGATAGGGTACGGAAGGGTAGGGTAGGGTAGAACAGAATAGAATAGAATAGAATAGAATGGAATGGAATGGAATGGAATAGAATAGAATAGAATAGAATAGAATAGAATAGAATAGAGTAGAGTAGAGTAGAGTAGAGTAGAGTAGAGTAGAGTAGGGTAAGGTAGGGTAGGGTAGGGTAGGGTAGGGTAGGGTAGAATAGAATAGAGTAGGGTAGGGTAGGGTAGGGTAGGGTAGAGTAGAATAGAGTAGAGTAGAATAGAATAGAATAGAATAGAATAGAATAGAATAGAATAGAATAGAATAGAGTAAGGTAGGGTAGGGTAGGGTAGGGTAGGGTAGAATATAATAGAATAGGGTAGGGTAGGGTAGGGTAGAATAGAATAGAAAAAGGTAGGGTAGGGTAGGGTAGGGTAGGGTAGGGTAGGGTAGGGTAGAATAGAATAGAATAGAATAGAATAGAATAGAATAGAATAGAATAGAATAGAATAGAATAGAATAGAATAGAATAGAATAGAATAGAATAGAATAAAATTCTTTATTGGCCAAGTGTGGTTGGACACACAAGGAATTTGTCTTGGTGCAAATGCTCTCAGTGTACATCAAAGAAAAGATACGTTCGTCAAGAGTCAAGAATCATCAGGCACAACACTTAGTGATAGTCATGGGGTACAATAAGCAATCGAATCATACTAGGAAACAGTCCATAAAAATCGTTAGGATACAAATGACAAAGTTACAGTCATACAGTCATAGTGGGAGGAGGTGGGTGAAAGGAACACTGAAAGCTCCTTGTGTTGCCCTCCCCAACACACACACATACACACACACGCACACACACACAGAGGCCCCTCTGCTAGCCATCTTCCCTTTGATCCACTCAGCCCAAAACTGCCTCTTCTCCGGGCAATCAGCCGATGAAAATTTAATGACGGTTTCTTTCAAGCCATTTGATCGTGGCCTCTCGGCTGCCGCACCCACCCACTCACCCGCAGCGGAGAGGCCCTTTTAATGGAACCTCAGGCTGGCCCTCCCGTGATGTGTTAATGAGGTTCTTGCTTGAAGGGGCGGGGTGGGGGGGAGAAGTAATAGCTCTCCTGTACCTTCCTAACCTTCCCATCCCACCCAAGCCCTCCTTCTTGCTCTCTCTCTCTCTCTCTCTCTTTCTCTTTCTCTCTTTCTCTCTCTCTCCACCCCTGCTTTTTAAACCGCTCCTTAAATGTAGCTGCTGGCATTTCCAACTCGTAATTGGCTCCCTGTTACTTCAGCCAGCAATTCTCCCTCTAGGTAAAGGCAGACCACCTGATCACGACCCTCTTCCCCCCCCCCACCGTGCTTTCATCTTGGACCCTCCCGCTCTCTATCCCCAAAGAGCCTCCTGCACCACCAGTGCATTAATAATGGATGGTCCCTTGACCTGCCGCTCTTTTTAGGTGGATATCGGTAGCCCTGAAAAACAAACGGCCAAATCAATTGCAACGGGGTGCTGGCAAAGCAAACAAGCAGGGCGAAGCCTTCCTGAAGCGAGCATCAAAAGTTGGAGAAAGCTGCAGGTGAAGATCAATAGGGCTGGCTCAGAAGTTTCTGCTTGTCTCGCTGTCTCTTTGTCTATGAATATTCACAGCCCTCCAGGTCAAGGTAGTTGTTGGACTTTCT